AAATAATTCAATCAGTGTGGTTTAAAATGCTTTGCAGGAGTGGTTGGCGCTACTGCTGACCCCTGCTGGCAGCTATTGTGGTCACAGTTGCTTGGGGTGAGGTGAGGTTCTCAATCCTTACTCTAAAAGAGGAGAGAGGGCACAGTAATAGTTGAGTTCCAGATGTGGGAAGCCACGAGGTCTGGGCAGAAGGTGCTATAAAGCATGCAGCTGGAGGGTGATATGTTTTATAGCCAGTCTGGCCAGGCTCGCAATGCTGACCCAGAGTCCGAATCAGCATCAGCATAGGTGCAGCACGCTGAGTTAGCAGCACCTCTACGAGGAAATCATACCAAAATAATGCCATCTGATTGGCTGCTTGTGTTTTGATGCGGCGTATAAATGACATTCATATCATGAATTGAACTTATTTAAAAGGTGTGGGGGTTTTTTTCCAATGCAGTAAAAGGACAAAATAAGATCAAAATACTGTAAAGTCTGCCAACTTTTCTCCCTTCCTCACTTTAACAGTCTCATCTAGAATGCTCTCACTAATCACACATAAATGTAAATCAGTTTCACACTGCTGAGACTCAGGCTAATAGATGGCACTGGCCTTCCCTCAGGGTTTCACAACATTTTTTTTCCCACACCGTCCTGCTGAGCTTGCGCCTCGTTTAAAACCCAGATCTCTGGATAACGCACGGATCTGAAACTTTTTTTTTTTTCTCCACAATGAAAGATCATTTCTCCCCAGGAAGAACAACAAAACCTCTTTGATGTATGCTTTGTGCCATCAGCCCAAATAAAAAAAAGAAAACGATATGGCGCAGAATATTTGCATATTGGAAGTCTGTCATTTTGACACGTGATCATCTTGTGCTAAAATGACCACTTTATGAGCTGGCTCTAGTTCAAGTCAGACCAAAACCTGATCAAAATACTCTTGCTGGTGTCAACACAGTTATTAGTAAATGTGTATATGTACCTACTGTGTTTCTTTATGTACAAAGATACAAATCTTTGTACAAAAAAATGTCTCTCCTGGGTCTTGTTGTTTCTCCTGTTCATGTGACGTTCTCTGTATTACGGAATTCCAGGGCTGTTTCCTTGGTGATGCCTATGTTATTCCTAACATGTTCACGCCGTCTCTGTTTTCCTTTCCTACCTGTCCTGTGTTCCCTGAGTTAAGACTGAGTTCAGGTTTATGTTGGATTAACTTTCAGATTTAAGTTTTAAGTTTTCGCTTTTTTTAATAATCTCTTGCACATGATCCTGTCTCCTGAGTGCTGTCTGCTCACGTACCCTGAAAATGTCTGTCAAACAATTTAATTTGTTTTGGATTGACAATTAATAGGTAGATAGATAGATGGATGGATGATGGATGGATGGATAGATGCCTCTGAATTTCCCTTTGGGAAATTAAGGTAATTTACTGTGATTATTCATGACTAATCCAGATACAATTACATTCCTAAGTGTGACAAATAACAATATTTTTTTTATATTGCTGGCACAGAATGACAAGTAACAGCAGGTTGATGTCTGTTGGTATGCATATATGTATATATAATGTATGGCGCCGCTTGAAAATGTGCGGGATTTGTTTTAATACCATACATCGTAATGACGTAACAAGGCTTTCCTAATAAATTTATAGGATTTATTATTTATGGCTACGTAAGCACAAAACACCGCAGGTCGAAGACCTCCTGTGGTTTATGTCGCTACCCTTTGTATAGAAATAAAACAAAATGTGTTGTTGATGTATGGTCTGTGTTTCTAATTGAGACGACACAGCAGTCGGGCCAACAAGTGCACCTGTGCGATTTGTATTACGTGCGGATTTTTCCCTCCGACTTCCGCGCGATTCAGTCATCAGTCAAGGTGTAAAATTAAATGGGAGATAAAGGGCAAAGACATCAGGCTGCACGGCCTAAATTGACAACAAAGTAAAATGAATGAGGTGCTGGGAAAGGTGGCCCACTGTGGTGGGACTAATAAACCTGCAGGCTAGTTCAGGGAAGAAACAGGAGCAGGAGGAACACGCTCCTCCTCGGCCCGCCGATGAAATGAAGAGGCAGTAAATGGATAAACAGTCTTTCTGGGAGTACGAAAAAGTTGAGATTTTAACGTGAGGCCTGCGGGGGTACAGCACGGCATCCCCGCCACATGTAAGCACAGCCTAAAGGATATAACAAATCGATTTAATTCCATCATTTCGTTTGGCTTCTTAGATGCTAATGTGAGTTGTTTTAGCTAGGACGTTTTTTTGGTTTTTTCCTCTCCCTTATCCAGCACTGCACACCTGTTTGCTGTTGGCTATTTCTGTCCATTGTTGATGTCCAGAAATGCTGCCATGTCTCCTTGGCTGCCTGGTTACGACTTAAAAAAAATGTTTTTTTGTTTTTTTTTGTCTTTTTTTGGTTTTTCATTTGCATCTCTATCTACAGAAACAGCCACAGAGCAACAGAAGCAGAGCCAAAGCAGAACCTGAAAGATTTTTAAGTGCCTTCATTTGCCTTTTCTAAACCCCTTTAAAGGGTATTGATTTAAATAAGTGCCCGGGGCACATGTGGTGATTGCTTCTCATCACCGGATGAGAGCCTTATCCGTCCGTATGTCAGTCTGCTCACTCTAAGTACCCTGAAGATTGTTGTTGTTTGACTGGCTTTAGACACAAATGTAGTTTGATGCGCAGTACTTTGGCAACACCTGTGGATCGTAATGCCATGTTATACTCCGGCTCCTTTAAATGTATGCTGGCATTCACAGCAGTGGCTCCCGGCTGGTCCATTGTACTCACATCATTAATGTACAAATGTCAAATTGCCTTTTTTCTGTCTCCCCATTGCTGGGAGAATGGTTTTTTTTTTTACAGCTGTGCCATCATTTGCCCTGGGCTCTAATCTTCGTTTCAAACGTGAAAAGTGTCCCTGCAGTATTACCATTTCACTACCTTCACTAACTCTGTCATACACAAGAATATAGTGTATTCATTACTGGTCCTTTTCTACAGACAGACGTAGTATTTCTACGATCACGCGATGTCTATGTCAGAGAGTGTTAAATTCCTGTCAAATTCCTATTGTGTTTTTTTTTCTATTATTATTGTTGTAAGTGATTGAATTTTAATTAAAAGTGGGTGTTTGAGCCTGCGGAAAGGTGCTGGCTTGGAAGTAATGTGATTTGGTTGTTAAGCGTTGGCTCCATCCTGCTCTGGGGGACAGAGGGCAGCAGAGAGTGAGAGGATGCCAAACAACAGACTGAGGCAGGATATAAATCAAATCTCTCTGGAGACTACAAGGCGCAGAGCACACACACACACTCACACACACACACACAGCGAAAAAGAGATTCACAAACACCTGCACACAGTGTGAATTCTGGGGTTCTGGGAGCTTCAGTACCCTATAACCACTGGGTTAATGACTTCAGAAGTCTGAGGGGGGGGAAAAAAAAACATGCAAAAGTGATAACAACTGCACGGTTCTTCAAGGTGAGAAACAATAGGTATTATCAGCTAGCTGTGTTCCTAGCAGTTCGGGTTAAACTACGTAATCAGTGTACTAAATCGCTCAGAGAAATAGAAAAGTTGCTATTTTGCTTACAAAATTGCTTATAAATATTATAAAATTGCTGATTTGTTACGTCATAATCACACACGTAGGAATCAGAAGATTCATGTTTGCAGTTGCTAATTTACAAATTCATATTCACAAATGTAGCAATCAGCAACGTTAATGCTCAGATATTGGACAGTTGAGTCATGTGACTGTAGAAAAGGTAGGAAAAAAAGTCTGACGGGCTTTGTATCTTATTATTACAATGAATTCACTGTTATTTCTGTTGATGCCACTAGATGGCAGCAGACATCAAATGTGCCAACATTTTCTTTGAAAGTCTAGGTTTATTCTTGTACGTTTTATTTGCATTATTAAGCCCAGCATTCTACATCCAATCAAATTTCGGAACCTAATGTTTGCCCAACCCGAGTATTCCATTTGGGAATTATACCATAGGTAACAATAGAATCTGCTTATATTTCAGCATCCTAAGCTGAATTAATGTCCATTGCACCAGTCAGGTGTAATGTAACATTACTGGTTGAACAATCCTTCAACCAACCTTCGAACAGCACCTACCAACAAAAACAACTAACAAATCTAACAACCAACTATCCTACTTAAAAATCTACCAACATACCTCCTTACCTACCGACCTATTTTCCTTTCTTGCAACCTACCTACCAACTTATAAATAAATGAATAAATAAACTTCCAAGCAAAAGTCTCGTAATCAATAAACTGTTGAGAGAGGTTACCAAAAGGTCAAGTTCCCCAGTCGCCTAATAAATTGGGGAGTTAACAGCCTATGAAAAAGACATGGCTCAGCAGTAAAGTCAAAACAGTGACTGTGTTGATGACTCAGGGAAAAGTACTCATTCACCTCAGGAGGAAAGTGTCCAGTCATTAACTGAGCTGCTGTACAATTCTCTATAAAATTATACTTTGTTTTTATAGAAAGGTCATGTTTCTCAATGATAAATAACACAAATGTTCGACTTCCTGTGCAATGTTGGTCCAAAGTCCTGTCTTTTGGGTTAAACTTTATAATGTGTTGTTATAAGCAGCCCGGAAATAACACAGTTCTTTGAGTGCTTTTGTTTTAATTATATATATATATATATATATATATATATATATATATGAATGAAATATGAATATAAATTAATCACATAATCAGTGGGCTTCCAGAGGTGGCCCACTTCCCTATAATCTGATTGGTCTACCCCACCCAATGGTCATTAGCTCATGGTATGTCAATAATTGCGTCAAGCTCTTTACCGACACTGCATGTAAAAACCGGAAGTAAAACTGAAATAATTTTGTGACTAGACTGTTTACTCCTAAAGCTTTTATTTTGTTAATAAACTCGTGAAACATCACTTGTCATGGACTTTTGTTTGCTAAGTGATACTCCGAAGTTCACCGAATTAAAGGTAAGAACGACACAACAGGTTCTGTAAGAACGTCACAGCAGTGTTTTGGCAACTTTAGTTTCAATTGGGCCTAATTTGTTTCCATTTTTCTGGCACACTGTTCTTTAACAACACTACAGGTGTTTTTAATTTTAGTCTAATTAGCTCTCCATCTGGATAAACGTAAACAACGGTTTCAGTGACGTTAGCATAGCAACGTTAGCTGTTGGCACGATACAAATAACTTCTAACGTTGCTTTTCGTTGTGTTTGTGGAAGTTTCTTCAATGACTACAGGCAATACGAAACAAAGGTAGGTTGATATCTCCAATTTCTTCAATAAGAGAAAAATTAGCAAGGAGTGCAGGTGACAATCAATTCAGTCAGGCAGCGACAGCCGACCAAAACAGGTGTCAGGGACATGCTTAAAAACATGTGCTGTGGTGCTTTGTACTATTTTACAGTGATTCAGTGAATGACTGGCACTATTAATGTAAAATTGTTAAATATATGCAGTTCATGCTGTATCTTATAATTAATGTAAAATTGTTAAATATATGCATTATTCTATATGCAAGAATAATCATATAGACCTTATTAAAAATAGAATTAAATCATGTATGTTCAGTTACAAATAAAATTAATGAAGTGTTGACTGTGTTTCAGATGCACAGAGTCCTGAGTCAGAGGACAGCTACAGCAGTTTATCTGAACCTCCCAATTTATCTGACATTTCCTACTCTGAAAGGTCGCCAAGGTAGAGTATTTTTTTAAAAATGCTGTTAAACTATCACCAGCAATATGTGAATTAATCCTTTTTTTTATTACTTGCCTGCTGAAATGCAGTTGCCCTTTCATATATTTAAAAAGGTAAAAGTAAGCTGTTGCTTAATGGTCTGACTAAGCTTTTAATAAATCAAATGACACACATCTTTGTCTTTAAATGTCAGTGTTGACCATGACTATCGATTTCCACAGACTAATTTTGAATGTATTTTTTAATATATCTAGAAATGTCTCAAACCAGAGCTGCAGGCCCTGCACAACCCATCCTGAAGACCATCCGTTGCACTCAGCGTTAACAGGGTAAGACCAGAGCCTCCAACGATCTGTAGTTATGCTGCATAGTTACTGATTAAGAGATTTTAGATATTGTTGTTTTACTGTGAAAATAATACAACATGCTTTAAATTGATTACCGCACACTGCACTCGTATGTTTACTATACAAAGCTGAGTACTACTGATGTAGAGTATAATATATTGTTGTTACTGTTCTAAATTTAATTTTGATTATTATAGGACATTTGTTGTTACATTGTAAGAGTCTAAGTGGTGCTTAAAGCTGATTACTACACAAGACACTGCTTTTGTTCACTGTACAGAGCTAGAAGGATCGAATTCTGACTAACTATATACAGCAAACATCATAGTCTTTTGTGTATTACTTGGTAAGCGTACACCGTGCAGATTTAATGTGACCAAGAAAAGCAATTTTGAAGTGGGCGATCAGTGGCAGCCTGTATGTTTTGTTTGTTGGGCCACCCCCTCTGAGATAAATTGTTGTTACTTTCCCAACCCCGGAAAATTATCTGGACCTGCACTAGCACATCATGTGTCATGCACAGTATAATTTAGCAGAACCATGAGAAGAATAGCACCAGCACTAGGATCACTGATAAACTTACCATTGATTTTTCACCGTAGTAAACATTATTCTTCTTGAAAGGTCTGTTATCTGTCTAACTGGACACTGTTCTCCACGGTGCATACCCAGTGAAATTCATAGATTACGCTGCAATGTGTTCAATACTCTGCGTGGATGTAAAAATCCGAGACTTTTTTGACAGCGCTGTGATTACGTTTTGCAGGCATGCATGCATTCAGTATGTTGATTTAAGTCGTTTGACTGGACATAATAATTGTGTCATCATTCATGGAGCACAGCAATTTAATGTTTCACAACGTATCTAGTCTCTAAATAGTGTGCACGTGTACAGAAGAAAGAACTTCCTCTTGGGAAAAACACTGAAGCTGATGAATATACTCCAGTACTGGCAGTGCAGTCCTGGTAATAGATACATGTTTAGGGCTGCATCATAAAGAGGATCCTGTAAAATATACATGACAAATCAACAATGCAGATAATCCTCCTGGGATGACAACAGGAATAGCCAAAAACAAAAAAAGGGGTTTGTTGAGGAAAGAAATTTTTATTTTATTTTTCTAAAGCAATGCACATCCTGACCAAGCATTTTCAATCTCCTGTCTGAGATTAGGATTTATGTTCTTTTTTTTCTGGTAGCATTAAGACATGGCTAATACAGGGGGTGTAAGGTTTACCAACGTCCTACAACCTAACCTTGTGATGTGTGGTATTAAAACAAATTTCGCACAGGAACTAGTTGGCAAGAGGAGCAGATGAATACGCAAATACCCCATTGGTATAATAATGGAGTATATATTTTGATATACCATACCATACCTTCGACCTGGAGCCTTATAGTATTGCTCTGATTGTCACTGTGAAATTGAAAGAAAACGAGCAGAACCTGAATGTTAAGAGTTACAAGGTGAAGGCTCAACAACAGTTAAACAAACATTGTAGTTTGACAACCACCGTGTCTGTCTACGTGAACCCTGCCTGACCCTTTATGCCATGAGTGGGAAAATATCACTTCAACATCGATTACAGTGGGATTTCAGCTCACTGCCTCAGTAAAATACAAAACAGCACACGATATTTTACATTGTACTGAGTGTTTCCAGGACAGCCTGTGTGTTCTGCTCAGAACTGGTGGATTTTATGAGTTCATAAACCCAACTCAGTCTGTATGGCTGTAATTTGTACCTTAATTAACACGGATTCTCTGTGAGTAGAGATCAAATCTCTTTTGACCCTGCGATCGTTGAATCTGTTTCGCAATGCTTTTTTTTTTTTTTTCTTCAATTTAAATTTTTATTTATAGAGTGTGGTAATGTTGTGTTGTTTAATCTAGCAATCCTGAAAAACAGCAACAATGGATGATTGACAGTGTGGCAATAGGCCTTTTCTGTCACTTTTAGTCTTTTAGCTGACTGTCACTACATAAAGGATAGGGGATTCCAATCAGGTTGAACTTTCATGTCTCACCTCGCCTGTCCTTCAAATACACAGATTGCAGACACCCGCTGTTGGCCAGGCTCCAGTTTGATTTCTTCATTCCAAAATCCTCCCTGCAAGGCTTGTGTGGTGTCTTCACGCATACCAAACATGCAGGGTTGCCTAGCACTTTGAACACTCAGTTTTAAGATATGGAAAAAAAATGTTTGTGAATTATCAGGAATAATGATTAGTCATATTTTGAGGTTTTTAGAAAATAAGGTCAAAACAACAAGTGAAGTAGTTCTATGCTACTACTACTTCACTTTTGTTTTTTTACCTTAAAGTGCAGATAGTGATTATGAAATGTATCAAGTACGCCGATTGGCTGAGGATATAGCCCAGTAAAAGTGCAGTTGTGCCATCATCACTTGAACCTTGATGTCATGTCTCCGTCCCCCACCAGTCGTGCTAGCCCCATACTTTAAGAAGCACTGATATAGCCAATAAAGTACTCTGAATCAGCAGTGTTAGAGAGAAAAATTGGGCATGAAGCACAATTTGCCCATAATATGACTTAGGCAATCGTGCCGTGAGGCTAACGATATGTAGCAACAGGCACTTTAATCAACAGTTAAGGATTTCCCGCCGGTATGGAAACCCAACAAGGCAAATAATTGTCGGTCTACAGAATTTCATTACAAATGAAATGCGCTGTGAGCTGCTTCTCCTTACGAGACTGTTTATATGTGATTAAGTCATTGACAAGACAGTAAGAACAGGGTACTGAGTTTACCCTCCCGTCATAAAGTACACCAGCTGATTGCTGATCTCGTGCCTTTTCATTTCCTTGAGTGTTAAGTGTTTTCTTACGCGTTGACATTCACCTCAATTTCTGAGAAATTACGAGTGTGCATCTAGCAGGAAGCTATGGTCTGTGCTTGTGGATATTGCATGTTCCCTCTGTTCTGTTCCTGCTCCTTGGTTGTTTTTTTCGCTTTATGTGGCCTTGTGACCATCAATGTACTGATCAGCGGGTACTCCAGCTGAGGCTATCCCGATATAGGATCACTTTATACTGGCAGAGCTCACAAGATGAGATGGGGAAAGAATGTATTTGATTGACCTATTTACTAATTTACTGTGTGAGACACACATACATTCATCTACTAAGGTGAATCTAGCATCTGGCCCTGTCACATGTTGAATGTAAATGTTCTATTAACAACCAGGAGGACAATTCTGTTCGGCTATGTTCGACCTATATCAGAGACAGAGTTCTACAGATGTTCTAAATCAGTGGTTCTCATACTTTTTATACTCATTTTATATTGAATTTTCCCCGCATACCAGTAGAGAGCGCTCGTGTGCCACCGGTGGTATGCGTACCACAGTTTGAGAACCACTGTTCTAAATCATCTGGAAGTCTTCTTCAGTGTAAGCTCTTGCTTAAAAGCAGTGGTTCTTGGTCATTTCTGTCGTATTTCCCCGTTGTCCCCTATTTTTTATCTGTACAAACCACTATATGAGATACTGCCACCTAGTGGATGGAGGCTCGTTATCATTCAAGCATTACAGCAGTGGTACACTTATGTCCAGCGTGCCATATTACGTTTGAAGCCCCTCATGCCCCCCCCCGGAATCTCCCTTTCCCCCACCCCTAGGGGGCTCCATTTCACCATTTGAGAAGTACTGCTTTAAAGAAACGTTTCACCTTATAAATTATGAGGTTTAAATGATGAGTTTATTTATCTTAACTTTTCCAACTGCAGGTACAGAAATAAAAGCCAGAGTTTGTTTGAAAATCACCAGGAAAGATGTATGAGCTACTTGAACATGGCAAGAACTAAGACGATCACTCAAAATATAAGACGTGGGAAGTGAGAGAAAAAAATCAAAACAAAACAAAATACTTCTCGAGTTTCTAGCGAGTAAGTATGAAATTCAGATTTTTATGTAAATGAGGTCTTTGTTAGCTCTAGAGAGATGGATGTACGGCTTTGGTAAAGTGCTATGAATCATTCACTTTGTCAAGAAATGCTGCTGCGAGAAGAGGAGAGGACCCAAATATCACAACTGTATTTGCATAACAAGGAAGGACAGTGACTTCTTACAAAGCCCTGAACATTTCTCTGTTCTAATACACATGTTTTATTCATCAGGAGCTTAGTGCGAGTTTTGTAATTTGGCCAAATGCTATATGATGAGCCATTTACCACTAATTCCCCCTGAAATATCTGTCGTTGTTTTTGGCCCAAACAGCAATATTACACCCTTTAATTGTGTTTGCTAATGAGTCCATCGGAGCAGCCAGTGGATTTTAATTAAATCAAACTTTTCTTTTCTTTATCGGCTGAAGTTCTGATGCGACATACAGGTTGACTTATTATGATGAAAGTCAGCTTTTATGGATGAAAGGTTCCGACCAGGAAATCGATAAAGGACAAGTCAAGGTCTGTTTTCATGACAAGTATCCAGTGTTGTATAATGAGGTTCCTCCAGCCTTTACTTCAATGATAAATCACAGTCACTACTGGCACTGCGTTAAGTCACTCGGTTGCCGTTGAGATGTACAGTATAAACTCGTTCGAAGCTCAGCTCAAATATGCGTTCTTCTCCATTCTGTTTGACTTGGTGACAACACTGCAAACATTTGTCCAAGACACACAAGGGATGGTTTATTGAAAAAAAAAAAAAAAAAATTTGATTTTTTTTCCAATCTTAAAAAAAAAAAAGTTGATTTTTTTTTTTCCAATCTCATGGTAGACATGGAAAAGAAAATATGTATCTGGTGCATTTATGTACCCGACACAGTAATTCATCACACCCCCACAGTGATTTGTTTCTTTATTACACTCAGAATTGTGGCTTTCCTCTGGAGACTGCCATGTGGTTTTACCATACTTTGATGTTTGTCTAAGCAAACCAAATATGTGTTGTGTTGTACTGATAAGTGGCTTAAGGTAAAACACATTAAAAGAAACCAAATTTATTCATCACAATGT